CGCGATCAGTGAACGTTCACGAAACTTCGTAGAAAACTTTATGGGAATAATACTGTGGCTATAAAACCAGCGGTCACAGAACCATGACAATGGACTTCGTTCTTTGTGGATGTGTCTGTGAAAGGGTGTGCTGAATCAATTTGATGTGAATGATCTGATTTGTATAATATCACATCTATACACATATTACTTATTAGACTGCCTCGTTGGCCGAGTGGTCCCAAGTGCGACTGACGGACAAGGGGTCTCGGGATCGATTCCCGGGTCGGGCAAAGTATTACTGGGTTTTTAAATATCTTAGTAGTAATGTGCCCGGTATATGGCAATAGGCTCACCCCCTATTACATGGGACTCATAACATAAATAGTGAAAAATGGGTGTTACATTGTACAGTGGCATTAAGTGCCGTAATGTGCACCTCTGCCTATACCTTCGGGAATAAAAGGCGTGATGTTATGTTATTTTATGTTAGAACACATTATTAAGGTTTGAATTGGTTCTTAATGTTTGTCTTGGCCTGTGCTCTTGACGCTAGAAGTAATGTGTCACTTTGAATGTCAATTAAGAACCAATTTTTCAATCATCAGATAATTTTTATTCGTTGAATAAAATTGACGTCTGACATTATTTTGTATGGGAGAATTGTTAAAAAAGACAAAATTATTGCTCCGCTATACATAATTCTTAACTGCAATAATAAAATTGACATTTGACAGTTTTTTATATGGAAGGCTTGACATATAGATTTAGGGAACAGAGAGTATAGTTCCCTAAGATCAGAAAAGGAGGATCCTCCGACCAGGCGAGGTGATCGTGCCTGACGGCTTTCTGCCCAACAGTTGTCGTCGTCGAGTCTTCTCTGCGTCCCCAGCTGGGGGCGCGAGGTCGCGCGATCCAGGCCGATGCCTGTCTCGGCGGATGCGCTCACTGCTTGCTACAGCAGGCGAGGGGTTGGATTAGTCGGGCTCCTTGCGGGGCCCGATGCGGTTTCGGGTCCGGTGGTTTGCCCCACCATGGGCCGCGCTCTAGCCGGGCAAGCCCAGCGAGCAGCAAGCTGTTGGCGGGGCTAAGCCAACAGTTGTACGTTGGGAATTTCTGTCTGTGTTAATTTGCCGTGCCGTGTCGCCACATAGATATCAAAAACAAATAAAATTATTCCGACGTTGGAAAATCGGCTTCAAATTGATTCACGAAACTATTGATTCGTAGTAAAATAGTTTTTTTTTAATTGATAGCGGCAGAGAAATCAGCCAAGCACCTACCCATAGTAATGGTAAGTTAATTGATGATAAGGTAACCTGATGGTAAGTTAATTGGTAATCAACTTTTTATGTATTTAACTTCTTATAGGAAAAGTAATCTTCAAGTCATTAATATCACTGTAAAAAAAATTAAACGAGTTTTTTAAACACACTACTGAAATCTTTACTCAATTTGGAAAACAATTTATTTAAAATGAAATATGTCTCATTGAGACAGCCCTTGGCTGCACCCGCCCACAGTTATTGCTTCAACCCCAACGAACTTCTTGCCACAAATCCGCTGGGAACAATTAGACCACCATCTAATCTTTATCGTGTGACAAACTGTTTAAAGAAATACCAAGTAATTGTGAGGGGGACAAGTATAAAGAAGAATGTCGAGTCTCCTGAGGAATATTGATAGGCACGTTTAGTTGGGACAGTGTAGTCTTTAATATTGTTTTATTTCTCTGAATGGACAAACAAAGACGATCGTGTTGTGAAGAATGATATGAAAGAGAAAGGAGTTTGTGATAGAATGTCGTCTGAAAGGAAAGAATGTAAAAGAAGACGTATTGTGCAAACCACGTATAACTGGGTACTAAAGCAGGAAGAAGAAGGTTGAAAACAGAACTACAGAAATATCTATAATACACCCTAGAACAATTATTCCTAAAAGTGTATCAGGAATTTTAATAAATATCTGTGCAACATAACAATTTTTGCATGCATATTCTAATCTAGATTATACCACATTTTGCTAGATACAGTAGTATATACCTACAGCGGGTGATTTCACTACAATAATATTACAAACTGAACACTTGAGCTAACAACAATATACTATGAAGTATTATAAAAATAACCTTATAAAGAAATAGGCCCTTAGTAAGATAGCAATCCCGTTACAACCTTATCAAATAATAAGACAACTTGTTACGGAATCGTCAAAAGCCTACGCTCATTTGTTACGAGTTACAACATAAATAGCTTTAGCAAAAAATGATGTACAATTTTCGTAATTTTCTTTAACTAGATAGGCACTCGAAATGGTAGCTACTCATGCGAAACCATTACATATGTCGTATCCGTTTCAATGTCACACGCTTCTTTACTGATTAAATCAGAAATATCGACCGAGTGAGTCCGGTAAAGTATGAAAATTTCATGAAAATCTATATTTGGAATTAGCTATAGCCTAAATAAAGAACGATTCTTCAAAGAGTACACAGTAAACGGAACAAAGGTCTGCTGAGGACATCTTACCACATTACAACTAAAACGATTTCAAACCGATGGAGTGGACTCTTTGTTCGACAATATTACTCTTTTCCTAGTTATTTTGTAAGCGCCTAACATAAAAACAATAGCAAAGGTACTTTGGAGACAAAGAAAAATTTTGCTCAAATTTTGTTGTAGGCGTTTTTATTATAGAAGTGAAATATGGAATCGTAATGAAAAAAATGTTGGGGGAATTCATTAATACAAGAGCTATAAATATTCGCATTATTTCTAAGGGGGTGAGTAATAAATTCGTAATAAAGATGAAGAGAAGTGTGGTGATAAAGGCACCCCGCTACGAGTGAGCGATATAACGTATAGCTCAACGAATTCTCAGCGCGCTGATTCCTATACACGGTTATGACATCTCTTTACATAAAAATGTGGTTTTATATAGGATGGGCGCGTATATTCTGGCAAACAGGACTAAAATCCCGCGAAATAAGCGCGGGACGGATTCGTGATATGTTTATTTTGTAATTCTCGTTCCACCTGTCATGGCAATCAACCACAAAATTTTACGACACACAAACTGCCGTGGTGCGGTGAAGTATACCATGAAAACATTGCTATCACCATCAAAATCGAATTAGATGTGATGTCTGCGTAAACATTAGTTTATTAGAGAATCATGTCGACGATAAACGGTGAAATTTTATGGAAACAGATAAAATCCTGAAGATATTTTTTTTTTCGTAAATATTCCTTGATCTAATATAAGTGGAGAGCTGTACTTGACTTTGTAAATAAAATGTCTGTAACACGTTTGTGGTTTAAATTATACCAATTAATAAAAAAAGTGCTATGTTTTTATAATTACTATCGTAACACTTATTAAACTGTCAAACACCAAGCGGTCACCGGTGACCGCAACCTATTGTTCTATAATTGTGTCTACGAAACCGGTACTCGACGAGTTAAATAAACTAAAAATCGCGGGTTACTCACGTGAAAGTACTGAGAACACTCTACTAGTTTTGAACCACAGAGGAGTTCTTCCTCATGAGCAGCGTGCACGGTCGCGGCGATGTCGCGCAGCTTACTGATCCTCTGTGCTTCGAAACTAGTAGAGCTTTTCTCAGCACTTTCACGTAAGTAACCTGCGATTTTTAGTTAAAAAAATGTTGTTTTCAACCTTACTCAATACTTTAACCTGTGCCCTTGAAATATCCAAAATGGCGGTAAGCGTTAAAAGTGGGCAAGTTCAATGACTTGCTGAAAAGTCTAGTTTTAGGTCTTCTTTAAACATGGTGAATGGCGTTTCTAGGTTAAAATACAAATCTAAATTTGAATGCTTCTGTTATCGAATGGCTGCTAGAAAGAAGATTTCCGAAACGAGTGCAGAAATAAAAAAAATGCCTACAGAAAAAATCAATAAACATTTATTGAAATTTAAACTTTACATTATTGTAATAGAAACAAAAAAGCCTTTGAAGATATGAAAATACATATTGCTTCTGTGTTTAATATGCTTCTGTGAAGTTGCATAGATACTTTACACAAGCACCTCAAAGTACCCCAATCTCTGCCAAAAAGATAAACGGTAGGTGAATGACCTCTGGACCTCTAACACACTACCCTAAAACAAACATGTTTATGTTTAATTTAAAATAATGTGAAATAGAATGAACCCAGTTTATTTAGGGCTGAAAACCTCGGTACTTTGTTACTTATTTATTTTACTGTCCAGCTGTCTGTTTATTGTATAATAGTAGGTATATTTGACATGTTTTGTTTTGTCATAAAATTCACGGTTAATTAGCGGTATAAATTAACTTGGTTTAATGAAAATAGATAGGTGTTTTGGGGTTAATTAATTGTGCATGTATAATCTATATAGAGAACATACTGCTCGTTCTTCTCCATAGGAATCTACACCTTGGAATGAGCAGATAGCTTTCAAAAGTATCTTTCTGGTCTAATTAAAATAAATGATTTCGACTTTGTCTTGACTTTGACTTCACTACTTCTAGGTACAGAATTTGACAAATATATTTATTAAAAATTGGAATGTAATTTAAAATTACAAGTAGGTAGAAAGTATTAAAAGTAGTTGGTAAATATTTTTACACAAAATGTACCATTAACAATGCAAAAAAGTCAAAAGGTAATATTAGACGATAGAGCTGCCGTTATAAAATGTCCATCATTTTCTTTACTCAGTAATTCGCGCTAGGGCCGCCAGGGGGCTCTCACCGTTTATAATGAAGTTGGAAATGTTTGACAACCCTTGCAAGAGTGGTGTCGCGCTTAAATTATAAAGGCGCGTCGGTTTCAGGGTTGCCGCAGACGTTTAACATTTAAAAAATATAATTTTATTTGTGGGCGATGTTTTATTTTGTAGACTACCTAATTTATAGAAAAAAAAACAAAAAAAACTGTATATTAATCCACGACAGACACGTGTATGAGAACACAGGGACACACTATAAATGTAGGAAAAAGGAACCACTCTGATCGTGTTGTTATCGTACTTACCGAATGGTGTGGTTGTATCTGTAAAATAAAGAAACTTAAATTAATGTTGTATTTTTCGTTTACAACAATTCAAAAAATAATATCGAATACACACACAGTAGCTGCTACAAGCCAAATAAAAAAACATGTAGCCGAATTTATAACCTCCTTCTTTTTGGGAAGTCGGTTAAAAACCATAAATACAAACGTGGTCACTATAAAATATTACGATTCAAAACACGTACAAATAAAATATAGTATCAAAAGTTCGCCGACGAAATATGAAAACTAGTTCAAGGAAAGTAATATGAAACAAGTCAAACGAGAACTGCGAAAAACTTATTTGTTCTTAGTAAGTAGGTATAAGTTCAAGTTAAAAGTAGCAACATGCTTGGCCAGTCCACGGCGACTTGGCTTGCAAACTTTACTTTTAATATACACCACTTTTATATACGAAAAGTTTTCCGTATTCAATAGACGGTTGTAAAATAAAATAGGAAAATGAATTTAATGTTGGGTTATAGAAATGTGCACACAGTCAATTGTATTGAGACGTGTCATTTGTGTCATAATTATTACTAGCTGCGCCCGCGTGGAATAGTGCCTCCGTAGATGATAGCGTGATAATATGTAGCCTATATGTTGAACCGACCTGTTAGTAATATTCATGCAAAATTTGAAGTAAATCCATGCAGTACTTTTTGAGTTTAACCCGGACATACATACAGACAAACAGACAAAAATTCTAAAAACCATGTTTTTGGCTTCGGTATCGATCACGCCCCAAGCATTCTTTCAAAAAAATATTCTATACTATTTTTTAATTTTTTGTCCGTCTTTTAGATATTTTAAAAATCTTCGATACGTATTTCTTCTTTTTTCTCGTATCCAAAAAAACATGTAGATATTTTGAGTTAAAATGACGCGTCACGTCACACTTAGGTACGATTTCTCCGTAAGTGTGACGTCAACACCCCCCACTCCCTAACTTTAATGCGGAATAACTACGTATTCTTCTGTTAATTTGATAAAATAAAAAATACGTGTCTGATATTTTCGTGCGATCTCAATGACGGACTAATTACTTTTTTGATTTTTTTACCCTGTCGACACGCCTATTTTATTATAGAAGATGTAGTGGTCAGTAGTTGTTACTTTAATTCTTGGCATGTGGAACTTTCTCTGTCCCTGATGTTACAAGCTATCTTTAGCCGATTTCAAAAATGCAGGATGTTTGATGATGCAAAGTTTCAGTTCTCTATGAAATGTATTATAGTTTTGTGCATAAAATTACATACCCAAGAAGGTATTATTCTGTTCGACTTCTTTATTACATTTCATCTGATCAATAAGGGATCTCTTCAAAGAAGCAAGGGAAAGTATTAATTTGATGTCCTGAATAAGACACAAATGAGAACTTTACAAGTAATCACGAAGATCGAAGATCGACTGACAAGAAGACGTGCTGCGTCGACCCCAAGTAAATTGGGATAAAAAAGATAAGGGTAACGACGATAACACGCAATCAAGCAACGTGCCAATTTTTCTCAGGAAAAATCACTCGGAAATGAGTCTAGGGCATTTTGCTGGCTATCCAAATATTCTGCAAGCGTTCACGTTTATCTTAGCGATCGTACAGATTTCAGATTTAGCTTTTTAACCTTAAGATTTTTTTTGCTGACTTTTTGCTAGTAATTCACAAGTACCAAATGTGAACGAAGTAGTAGGGCATCATAAGTTTTATTGGCCTTTTCTAATCGCAATAATACGGGGCTGACATGTTCCTGAACGAAAAGTCCCTAAAACCATAGATAATAAAAAAAATCACAATAATCATCCAGATTATATTGTGAATTTGTATTATGTTTATATTTTTACGTCTTTTCGCAATAGCACAAACAGTTCTCACATAAAACAACAATGTGCACATTAAACAAAAATAACATAAACAAAGAAATAACAGCACACCGGAACAGATGAAGTGATACCACATTTATTTCTACAACACACGCTACAAAATTAGTTGTAATCTTGTCCGCATTAAATAAAAACGTATTAGTCACGCGACAGCCCTACAAGGGGACCCTTTGCAGGGGTGAGTCCAGACGATACGTAGGTACAAGTAACGAGAAGTCACAGTTTTATGAATTTGAGTTATTACTACGCTTTGTCTACAAAATTCCACTCATTTTGTACCTGACGATTTTTACGATAGATGTATTTTTTCGTCGTAATGGTGGGTTTTGTAATTTTAGTTATGTTACTGTCGAAGTTTCTAGAAGTAATTATTCTTTTGACTTTCTGATGAAATATCATTAGGTAGGTACCTATTATAATAATAATACTGTACATACAATTCCATCACTGCCTGCCCTGGGGGGTATTAAAAGACAATTTTGTTTTAGTTGATCTAGTTTATTTAACTTGTTAAATAAGCATTAATAAAAGAACATTTTATAGAACAAATACTTTTATCCATCGAATAAACAACTCAGTTTGTAGAAAACAATTTAATTATTCACTGCTAATGTTCTATAACGTAGGTACTCTCGATCAATAGAGCACTGACCTACCACAATCGATTAAAAAAATTACGACACCCCTAACTAAACAATGCATAATACACGGGCAAGTGTGTGTCCGAAACTATGCATGTGTGTGAAACTTATTCTTAAAAAAAAATACGGCAGCCATATGCACATCACAACTCAGTGATGCATACTTCCAAAACATAAATTCGCGCGAATTTTAAAAAAAGAATTGCGAATTTTTAACTGACAGATTAAAATTGACACTTTCGTTCCATTCTCGCGCCTTTTTCTGTATAATGATGCTACTTATTGGTGTTTTGTATGTGTGTGTGCATAAATTGCGTATGTAGTGCAGGCGATTCGGGAGCGGCGCCAAAATGCGATCCCGTCACGCTATGGACTTAGGGCTGAATATTGATTTATCCCTAATAAGGGTGCCTGCTCACGGCGCGACTGAGGGAGTATTAACTGTGTAGACTTCTTAAATAAAATATGTGCAAAGTCTGTGTAAGTACTTACTTTCGAATGTTTTCAACGCTAAATAAAATTTAGTGAATACAGAAAATATTTTTTTTTTTAAGAAAATAAATCTATGATACATTGCTGTATCCACAGTACTACTATCATAAGTAAATAGGTACATAGATGTTCTATTATAAAAACTGAAAAAAAATTATAAACTATATTTTAGGTACGTTTTAATTTTTAAAGTTTTAAATGTATTGAACGGTCACAAATTTTGTGAATTAAAAAAAAACTGACATACTGTCGAACAATGAACAGCGCGCCTTAAAATCGTCACCCCATGTTTATCCCTACACCTATGGTTTGCCCAATACTGCACCTTATAATTTACGATCACGATTCATATACGCCTCCCTATGGCCGTCCCACCGTCATAAAATGCAACATCTATGTCTATGGTCCAAACATGCCATGATATTGTGTAATTTGCCTCCATACTTACTTGTTAACATTAAACCAAAATCATGGCATGTTGGTCAGCTAATGGATTAATAACGTTTTTATACTATTATGCCCGAGAAAATTAATTGTTTTTTACCCTAACGCAACCTAGTTATTAACAATTTCACATAACGTATTTTTATATTATAGTATTAAGAATATGATCGATCAATTTTGACCAACTGTTGTCGATTCTTTGAAGAGTGATAACGGGCCTTGTCTCGCAATGAAAATAAGCTGGCTTCTATAAACTAGCTGTATTTTGTATCTGTGTTGTACATCGTTTATTATCTGTGCACTTTTGTGACAGAAGCCTAAATGGCGCGAAATCACGGCAAAATAGGCTATTCACAATAATGAAGTCAATTTAATGTTCAAATAAATTACATACTTAATTACTCAACTTCTTCCCTATCCATATAACATAAACAACCTAATCCATTTTCATGCCTATCAAATAGTTTTTAAAAAAAATTCTATGTAATTCGAACAATTCTTGGAACAAATTGATTCATTAGTGAGTAATTTTAGTGAAAGGTCGTTGGTCAGGCGGAGGATTTATTAACGTTAGTTCGAAGTATATTTTGTACAAATTACTTTCATATTGTCGAGTTAGTAATCAAGTTTAAGTGACAAATGTTTGTAATGATAATGTTTCAATACTTACAACTTTCGTTATGATTTATATAAAATACGAGTAGATATAAATATGAGTAGGTATAAAACACATTGTCAGTTTTATAGAAGTAAAGATATCACATTTTCATGTTATTTTCCCCAAGTTAACATAACAACTCTCTATCTCTGTGATGTATGCAACTCCATAGTTCTTTTTTATTTGGAAGTCAGTTTTGATTGTTATAACCACACTGCATGAAGTTGATATTACATTAGGTATTCTAATTAGGCTAGATATCGAATAGTCTATCCACAATCATATCAAGAAACTAAACTCAAATACATAGTCGCGGAGAACCTAACCGGTTACCGACGTGCAGGAGAAGCAACGGGGTGGTTTTTAGTCAGTAAGAGTCTGACACTCCCTCCCGCCTCACCCGGGCGGGAGCAGTCATTCAATGATTTTACCCCCATAAAAAAAATACTCAAATACATTGAATACTTTTCTTACAAAAAGTTTAAAAAAACATCAATCAATCTTCATAAAACTTTCTATAGAATATTAACTTACTTAAGGAAAACTAAACGACGGAGAACATTTCCTTACTGCGTCCTAATACCGGCTACATATCTCCATAACAAAAGACAGGAAAAACTTTCTCTTCACAAAGAATCATCGCATTGAATCCTTGACGACAAGAGTCTTGCCTTTCAAGGTAATATTGTGCCCAGGTTACACTCCTAGGGGACGGAAAGGGTTGTAATTTGACCGAAAATACGTCAAATTCATAAGGTAAGGTAAAGGGTTAAACTAACCATATTCAGAGTCACGTTTGTGCGATATAAAATAATGAAACGAGTTTTAATGTGTGTTTTACATTGTTAACCGTTGTGATTTGTAAGATTTAGGGGTAATGTAGCCAT